GCCGCGGCGGGGGCCCTCCTCCCAGCCCTTGTACTCCACCACGGCGGCAGGCATGGCGCCCGGCGGCCCAGCCCCGCAGCGCCCCGCCCGGCTGCCGCCCTCCGCGGGCCAGGCCGGAGGAGGCCTCCCCCGGCTGCGGGATTTGCATGGACACACAGCTCTCCCTCGTGTTGTTGGTGACCAAACCACGTTTTCGCATACTCCCATAGCCTGACCGCGCTTTATCACCCCCCAGAACGTGCTCCGACAGCGGTGCCGGCAGCAGGACAGCGGATCCCTGGGCACCGACTCCCTCGGCTGCTCGGTCAGAAACCCTGCCTAACGGCAGAAGGAAGCAAGAAATCCTAAAAACTCCAGAGAACGCGGTCCTCTGAAGAGTATTTTCTGGAGATGGAGCTAGACTTTATTTATGTTGAAGAAAATAATGTCATGGCCTAATATAGCTGTCCTGCCTAAGTTACAAAACCAAATACACATGACAGACTTAAAAAAGAAAAGGAAGGAGGAATTTTTATCTGTAATTGAGACCAAATTTGCAAACTCGAACCTTGATTTCCAGAAGAGTGAGAACAGAAAGACAGTATCAATTTCTCCTGCAGCACCCAAGATCACCTAGATAACAAGACTACCGCAGCAGAGATGGTTAACCATGGAAATTCCACTTGCAGGCTGCTACTGGGGAGAGACAAGGGATGAAAGAAGGGGGATGGCATTTCCTCTTGATGAAAGCTTGTGTCAGTAAGCTTTATATAAAGTAGTAAACTAAGCCATAATAAATAGAACCTGTATGGTAATAACCCTGTGACAGGTATAATCAAGACAGCTTATATAAAGTGTCGAGATGTTCCAATAAAAATAAATTTAATTTTACAATATATACATATAAAAATCTTTTCTGAAGGAAACATTTTAAAATATTTTCTTTAAGGCACCTAGGGGGAAATAAAAAAGAGAAGACAATAAGACAACATGCATTCAGACTTAGAACTTACCAAACAACTGTGACAATAAAAGAATTCAATCCTATTGTTTAAAGGATTTTAGAGGGAACCAGGCTGTCTTCCCTTCCTGCTCCCCTAAGTCCTTCTTCAGCCTACTCTATTAACAACATCAGCTGTCAGTAGGTTAAAAAAAAAAGTATAAAAACTAAGGTATGATTCTTGACAGCATTGCATTCCAAGTACAAGTACAAAGTTCCAAAAATTAACTCAAGTATGTCAATTAACTGACCATCAAATGTAAAAATAAAGGGTTTTTTTCAGTTAGTTACTGCATAGTAGACCAGATTACATTTTGTGCCATGAAGAGATCAAGAATACAGAAACGTTCCAGACATTATACAGCTACCCTGCTTATAGTTTTTCTCCATTCATAAGTCACAGGTAGTTTCCCTGCAGTTCTTCCACATGCATAAGGAACTCATGCACTGTATACTTATTTAGTTTAGATTTATTAAAAGAACTTACTTGAAGAATTAAGCTATCTCCATTTCATCTTCATTTCTCTGATAAGGAGGGCTAATCATGGGTTCTGTTATTTCATATGTTTCTACAATCTCCTGGTTAGAGGACAAGAGTTTGTAAGTTACAAGATATGAACTATTTCAGTTTAATTGCAGTTACTACGAGGTAAGTAATAAAGTTTCTCATACTAAAGCACTGTTTCAAATTACTAAGTTTCTTCTGCACATTCTGAGTGAGGGACAAAGGAGAAGAGTTCTATGTGCTAAAAACTACTTTTTGTCTAAGATTTATTACAAACACCAAACAGTGAGGAAATTGTATGGAGAACTTCCCCTCCAGAAGCAAGTATCCTATATAAGGGAAGAAACAGACTCCATACTCACGATTCCTCATATAAAACAGTAAAGGCAAGTCACTGTGCAACTTCAAAGCCCTTAAACTGACCAGGCTTCAAGGATCAAAGATGAAATTGCTATCCCAAGTCTCAGTTTTCTTGCAGTTAAAAGCATTCATTAGATTTGTGATTGTTCTGGAATCCATAAAATTAAATGTAGTGATACGGGAACACCTATCCTCATCAGAGCACGTAACAGCACAGCTCTCAAATGCATCCTTACACTTAAGGAAAAAAAAAAATAATCAAAAGTATCAAGTGCTATCTATTATACCTTCCATTCTTGATGGTTCAGAGATATGACAACCTGGTTCCGTGCTCCAGCGCTATGGTCATCCATTCCCTCGTTGTCTTTTGAAGGCTCTGTTCAAAATACAGGATTTTCATCGTCTTTACACTCGTAAAGTCAGTTTCCTCCAGGAACACAAAGCTTCACCAAAAGCAAATTAATTACACAGGCTCCACTAAGCTAGTGTCTATCAATAGCCTGTACCGTATGCTTCTTAAGAAATCTCTTTAGTCTTACCTCCTAAAAATTCAGAAACTAACATTTTTCAGAGTCTCAGAAGGACCTAAGTATTTAATCCTTTATGAAATCCCACCAAAGTCTTAAACCCATTGATATCCTGTGGGAATGAAAGCCAGAGACCTCGTACGTAGGATGGCATTTCCTTTTCAACTGTTTTGAAGTTGCACCACTTCCCAACTTGGATAGACAAAGGAGACTTCTTGCACACAAAAGTATCTTTTCTCAGCAAAGCGTAACACTGTTCATATACTTATTAGCAAAAATATCATTTAAAAATGAAAGGTAATAATCTTTTATTTCTATTAATAGAATTAATTTGTGTAGATCAGCATAATGGCCTTTTGCCATATTTTAAAGAGACTCAATCCTTTCAGTTCCTCTCATAAATCTCTACATGCCTTCAATTACATTCACTGCGTATCCCCGAATCTCTACAACTGCAGCTAAAAACATACCTAAAACTTTGTGAACACATAAGATGTAGCTACTTTTCAATATTGGAACAAAAACCAGTCTTTTAAAGCTAGATTTTACCTATTATCGGCAATTTATCGTCATCCAGCTTTAATCTTGCAAAACCATCCTAAAAGACAGTAGGAATTAAAGTTTCAGAAATTAGAGCTATCTAATTAGGACAATGCACTGAGATTTCATATTTTTAATTAATATATTACATAATCATAAACAGGTACATGTATTGATAAAGAATCTTAATTGGCATACCAAATAAGAAAAATGATTTAAATATAGCACTTATTCATAAAGAATGCAGCTAATATAGGACAGCTGGTAACTGTTGGAATATAAAAAATCTGTTTTATTAAAAATCATTATTAGTCATTAAATGTACTTGAGTTAACCTTTCATAATCACATCGCTATTCACTATAAACCTGAATTTAGTCAAAATATACTTCTAAGTTCTTCTCTTTTCCCAAATTCATTTTATTTATTAGACAAACTAAGTATAGTATGAAGTGCAATTCTACAGATTCGAAAGGAACGTAAAACGCTGCACTGACATACTGTCCTACAACCTCAATAACTCTTCTGTACCCTATGACTACTCTCCTATCATCCAAAATAATGTGAGCTAGAATCCCTTCTTGAAAAGTGTATTAACAGCAAAAATTTCACTATTGTTTTGTTGGTAAATTGACTGTAGTAGAAAAATCTATTAAAAGAAATGAGACTGTCAACTCTGTTTCCTTTTTTATTCAGTTACCAAAATATCATAGACTGTAGAAAACAAATTAGGATTCCTAATATTTAAATCCTAATCTGTCAATATTAAAGCCATAAAAACAACAAATCAGTATTTCCAGATAATTCCAATATCTAAAATAAGATTTCAAGAACATGTCATGCCTTACCCTTATAATGAAGGACACATGAAAGATGTTTTCCACAGTGCGTGCAAAAGAGTTTGGATCAATCACAAGATCAAAGAAGGAAATAGGTGTATCAGCTACAGATGCAAAAATGGGTTTGTTAAAAAACAAATAAACAAACAGGTGGTATACGCAGAGCTAATATATGTAAACACAAACTTAAGTCAGTACTCCTTCTAAAAGCTAACTGAATGTTTATGTCAATTTAGTTACAATGCTGAATTCCCAGTTGCCTACAGAAAAAACCAACGTTTCTAGAAGATATTATTTTCTTCCATCTTTTGCCACACGCATACACATACGCAGTGACTATTTGCCTTCTAAAACATGGCATGCTCTAATAAGAGGAGAGGGTAGGATTTAAATTTACTTTGCAATCAAACAGCAACTGATTTGTGTTCATAAAAAAAAGACATAGTCACTATATATCCTTCAACATCAAGATTTCTACTTGCAAACTCCACCTAATTTTGTTTCTATAGTTTAACCACTCTGAACTGTAGAAGAGTATTCATTTCCTCAAATTAATGCTTTAAAAGCTTAACTGAATCATACTTACGATCATTTTTAAAATGAGTTTGCAATAATCCCAAGATCCTCTCCACTTCTTTTTCTGTAGCTTCCTGATGAGACTCCTCCATTTTTTTTAACTAGAAAAAAGAAACATAGTTTCACCTCAAATAACCACTGTTGCAAGACAGGAATATGAAAAGGCCTGCTATGAACACATAACATAAAAGACAAATTTTTCTCTCTGCGCCACACATGCACAGTTACAGGCACTCATGCAAACATGAGACAAATTACAAAGTGCTTTAGGAATTAATTCCCATCTTATAATATCAAACTGAAAGGCGACAGTTTGTATGTTTTGAGCCTATTTGCAGGTCTACGCTTACTTCCCAATAGCTCTGTGGAACTGGGTAACCCTACACGGTCTGTGAGGTTACTGAAAAAGTTTATTTATAAGCGTAGAAGGGCAGTTCATTAAGATCTTTTTTTCAGAAAATGCACCAAAGTTTATGTGTAAGAAACGTCATGGGATGAAGTTTGATGTGGTCAAAGGGCACGATTATTGTGATTTTACAGATTTGTTCATTATCTGTAAAGCAGGGTACTCCAAATCACCCTTCAAGTACTGTCATTCCCTTTTCACGTACAGTCTTCAGTAACCCCTTCGCTGTTCCTGTGAGCTAACACTTTCCCTTTGGTCACCTTGCAACAAAGCAAGCAACAGTAACTGCCACACATAACCATGTATCTAACACAGATTAATGCTGATGAGCAGAGTTTACCTAAGCAAACCACAAAGAGCAGTCACTCACTTCCGGAAGCAACTCTCTCAAACCCTTCAGCTCCTCTTCTTCTCAGTACAAACTGTATCAGAATAATTTCTATCACTATTTGGATTATTATGAGGTAGGCGGTATTTAAAAAGACACACTCAACATTCTGCCTCTACATACTGGCGTCATCAACCAGAGGTTCCCCAGAACAACACGGTTTATTTTTTCAAAGTGTCAAATGCAAGCCTCTCTGTAAGTATTCTCAGACTTTTGCATTTCTGCCAGAGTCAGACAGAAAGAACAGGGAAACAGAAAGCAGGGAAAACAGCAGTTAAGTGAGCTAACTAGTTTGCTGATGTTAACCACATTTCTGTGCAAACGCCACACAGTTAGACACTTTTTAAATTAAAGTTGAAAACACACTAATATAAAGAATTTTCTTTTTTGTTTCCTTTCAAAGCAATGAGCATTAGAGCAAATAAGCTAATTTGAACTTGAAAAATCAGTCTGTAAATCCTATTTCTGAACTTGAAATCAGTCTATAAATCCTATTTCCTTTCACTCAGTGAAATACTACAGTTCCACACAAAACAAATCAAGAAGCCTAATAATGAAGTCTGAATCCTTTAGTACTACATGGTTCATAATTACAAAACCCAAAACAACATGAACAGAAAGATTTAAAAGTCACTTGTAATAACTATGCCATAACAAATCATGAATAAAGATAACACTTGACGAACCTGAGCAGGCATTGCCCGTTTTCCTTCTCCTCCTGTTGCCTTCCTCTGCCTCTCAATCCGTTGCCTTGGTACAGGAGGATCAGACTTGAAAGATCCCAACCTAACCGAAACAAAAAGAACAGATATATGGAAATATGTTTTACATTGTATGCTAATAAATCTATACACTGAGCGGTTGATCTCCTGATAAAAGTGCAAAGTAATGACTGACATTTAAAAATAAAGCCTCATCACATTTAGAGATTTCTGTAAACAGCCATGCTCAAAAGTTGCTTCCAGTATATGTTGGCAGCCTCAAACCAGAATTATCAACAGATGTATAAAATTTGATGCAACTATTCCAACGTTTTTTTCTTTTTAAACTGACAACTTTAAATCTACTTTTTTTACAACTAGTTAAGAAATGACACAGAGTATATGGTTCATATCCTCCAATACCTCCATTTGAATTTATTGCAAACTTTTCTGTCTGAAAACTCTCTCCATACAATATTTATCTCTTTTTCATCTATTGCCTAGTTTCTGTAAGTTCAGGTTTGCAGTAAGCTTCTTTTTTTTTTAAAAAAAAAGCCACAAATTTTTAAAACCTAGTCAATCAATAGAACATTCAGTACACTAAGAAGAGATCCAAAGTTTCGCATTAAACAACGTGAGTGTAATATACGTGCTAGATTTAGGCACTTTCTTGAAGTGCTTACCTCTCTCCATTGACTATATAAGGAACTTAGGCTCCTAACTTTTTGGTTGCCTTGAATCTCCACCAAGTTAGATGCCTAAAGGAGAGAGTGTGAATTGAGACTCAATTCAAGTTAGTTCAGCAAGTACCCAAAAATTCCGCAGCACATATTTTTCGCTATCTTGGTTGAGTTGCGACCGCTCAATTTCAGAAGTCACGGTCTGACCATGAAAAAAAATAACTCAGGCCTCAGATAAGAATAGATGGAGTCAGAAATAAGTAGTTCTTTTCCTAAACTGATAACTACACTTTATTACTTAAAATTAACACTTTGCAAATATTCACACATCCTCCGTCAAAAGAAGCCCATCATTATCTAAGATGTCAAAATGCAACTAATGAGAAAAAATGTCTTTCTTGCAGTCAGTTCTGTTTTAAGATCATAAAAATTATTGGAAAATATACTTATCATTTAGAGCTTACAGCTTGAAAGTGTAAACATAAGTCTGAAATATCTCAATTAGCTATCCAACATTAAATATCAGATAATATATGATCAAATTACTATATTCACCAACTGCCTTATAATTACAGTGATACTTATTGGGGGTGGAACAAGTACAAAAGCATAGACAACTGAATAATATTCTATCAGCTCTACTGTTGATAATTTAATTGAATTAGATCTTGCTGTTGTACGCTGACTTTACGAGAGATTTAAATCGGAGCATCGTTGATAAGCCAGGTGACTAAGGGTCATTTGACAGCAGCTAAAAAGGCTCCTACTAAACAGGTTGCCTAAGCATAAGGAGAGATGATTCTACATAAGGCCACTTCCCCGTAATCAGGTGATTTCTTCTGAAGGAAGAGACAGAAAGCAAGATTCTAAAAGACAACCCATTAACACAGACATACAAGAAGAACTGTTGGTCTCTTCATGAGAATACAATTATCAGGTAAAAGATATAGACCCTGATGGACTGACCTTCCGTAACTGTCTGGGGGGCAGGGGGGAGTTCCTCTATTCATGATTCTGGCTGCAGCGTGTACAGGGAGTGAAAGATGAGGGAAGAGTCAGCTCTTAAAGGAAAGAGGATCACTTCTACTGGTTTTGGTCTGAAATGGGTAAATCAAGAATACCTTGCTATCTCTGCTAGACACAAGTGCCATTATTTTGTAGCCAAGCCAAATATAAATCAAAGAGAGAAATGTTATGAAATATTTTGGAGACAAGGAGTTCACTGTACCATAAGAACAGAGACCACACAGAAGTTCTTGTTAACACTCTGTAACCCGAGATAAAACTCTACTCAAGCCCAGGGCATTAAAGAGAAGAATCAATTAAGGCCATTAACTTGTGCGGCGTTATATACTATTTCCTTAAATAAACTTACATATAGTGAAAAGAAGGTGCTCTTCTGAAGTACTTTTCTGTTTCTTCTCCCAGTTTATGCCAGGCATCACCAGGTAAATAGCCACCTGAAATGCCCTCAGAATCACTATCATTTTCTTCTACTTCTATGCGATTTATACCCATGAAGGTTAGCTACAAAAGAAAAAAAGCTGCAATGAAAATTCACTTAGAGAAAGATCAGTAGATACGTTAATGGTAAAATACCGTATTATGGTGTTTTTTCTGCTCAATTAATATTTAATATCACTGCATAAGAACCTTGACTTTACTGAAGATACCGTGAAAACAGAAAAACATTCACATACAGACTTCTTGTGTTCAGCATGCATCAGCAAGCAATGAAAAAAAGAGCTATAGGTAAATAAAACTGCCTATATTCCAATAGAGTTTCAATGATGTATGAAGTAGCAAACCATTACTTAAATTGCACTATACAGCTAAGATGTTTCACAGTTTCTGAACAACACACACTCCCAGGAAGCCTGGCTCCTCAAATACCATAAAACAACTTATTTGGCCCAACCCTGCATCCACCAATCCAGACTTCCCCAGGAAAAACTTCAATAAAACAATTGAACTTGATGGTTTTTTATATTGCAGAGCTCTAGACTTGACCAAAGACTCAGATTCCTTATTCAACTACTGTAAGAGAAAATTTTCAGGGGAAAAAAAAAGAAAGTCTGCTTCGAAAGTCTGCTTCAAAAGTCTGCTATTCTGAACTGACTCTTCCACTCAGTGACAGTACGACAAGACAAACATGTCAAGTCTAAAAGCATGCAAGTAATCCAAAGTCCCATTTCATGTCAGTGACACAGGGCCTTGAGAACTCCATCCAAAAACGTATGAAGCAGTGTACAGGACAAAGAAAATACTCAGCTACTGGGAAACTACAAAACAGTGAGTATAAAAAAGGTGCACAAGACTACCCTAAGAGCATGAACTGACTGAACTGTGATAAAGTAGCAGCAAAGCAACAGTGGGGAGGGATGTCTGCATTTTAAGTTAGGTTTTCCCCTACATATATTGGAAATGCTTAATACACAGTTTAAAACAATTAACAACATTAACCTGGAAGTTAATCACAGAAATTCATAAGAAGAGTGTTAGATTCCATCAGAACTGTCACGTACTGACTGACAATCCGAGGCTTTTATTTTATGGTTCTGTAACAAACAGGGCAAACCTCTAGTAAAATTGTTGGCAAATTCAGAGTCTGGAACTTACCAAGTCTTCTGCAAATGCTAGTGAATCAAACGCTGTCATCTCAGAGTGCAACTCATTGGCCTTCTCCTTTCCTAAATTTGATGCTAAGACAAGAAATTGGGCATCCAGCGCAGCCTCTCGCGCACAGAAAACTGTTACAGAAAAAAAATTATGTTAATAATATTAAATCATCAAAAATATAATAATAAAATTTAGCATACAGACTATCCTGGGTATAGAGCTTTGTCAACCATTTTATTGCAATGACCTCTAACACAATTACTTACATAATCCTTATAATAATATTTGCATCAAAAAAAGAGAGAAAGAAAAGGAGAGGATGACAGTGACAGAGGCAAGCATGGAAAAATAATACATTATCTTAAAGAATAAAATGCATTTTTCATTGACATATTTTCCATCTCTCCAAGTGAAATGAACCCCTCTACACTGGTATCTTTTATATGTACTATTTACACATACTGTTCTCCAGAGTAAAAATAAAGGAAGGAGTATTTCTAAGTGCAAATAAACACTAAAGTAATTATATTTGTTTTCTCATATCAACTTATTCAAACAATTCCTCTTCAACTAAACATATCTATTTCAAGTTATACTTTAATAATTCTGATAACGTACTTGGACCTCAACTTCATTCTCTTGCCCTTTTTAGTTTAGAAGGCATCATCGCCTCACACTTGCCCAACTCTCAAGCAAACACCTCTAGTAAGGACCACAGAATTTGTTTTACCTCCACTGAACAGTTTATTGGCTTCTTCCAAAGCTTCTGTCAGTCTGTTGCTTTTTGAGCTCAGCATATCCTCACGATTTTCTGGGCGGGGAAGGGACACAAATGAAATCTTAAATTACTTAAATATAGAAGCATCAAGAAATACATACTTACACCTTAATCAAAACTGGCTGGTTCATAGCCCATCATACACACAAAAATACAGAATATAGCTATAGTACATTAATCGCAAGATTATGTAGGCTCCATTTTTATTAATGCTTACGCATTAGCTCAGTTTGAAATAGTAATTTTCCATTTACTTCAAGGAAATAAGATTTACGTGGCTGAATTTATGTTAGCAGATCCCAGATTCCTCTTGCTTCCAGTAAAATATCTATATCTGTGTCAAAGCAGCTACCAGATACCCTAGTTTTCTTTATGTTATTCGTCTTACCCATAAGTTATTAAGGATTTTCATGAAAGAAACAAACAAACCCCCCAAAATGCATGCTTGGTGATCTCCAAAGATCACCAAGTCAAACACAGTTACTTATATGTGCTGGTATACATATGATTTAACGAGGCTTTCAGGTGTTCAATTCTGAACAGCTACTCACAGCACTGCTTTTAAGGACGCACACCATACTCAGTGCACTGACTTACCACTGTTGTTTTTCTGCATAAACGCAGACTGCATCACCCATAAACTGCATGGTATTCTCTTGTAAAACCACCCTACAAATTTAGCAAGTATGCAGAAAACAACCAACACCACATGTTGCTAAATTTGGCAGTGCTTACTCAAACAACCATTGTTATGCTTTCATGAAAAGAACAGCACACTCCAAACATACATGGGAGAAGTACTGACAACTCCTGTCTAGGGAGATGCTAAAAATCCCATAGCACTTTCTGGAAAGCCTAAGAATGACTTTCTCGTCCAGGCAGATACTGGTACCTGCAGTTTCAAATTAAAGCTCAAACACCATGAATGCAAAATTAAAGGCTTTCAGTGTATCTCCAGGTCTAAAGCTGATAGTTCCCCTGCATCAAAGCAGTCACACACATGTTATGTGCAGGTAAATCCCTCCTAACCTTGCTATCCCTGGGCATGCAAATCATAGAATCATAGAATCCTTTGGGATGGAAGGGACCTTTAAAGGCCATCCCGTCCATCCCCCTGCAATTGGCAGGGACATCTTCAACCAGATCAGGTTGCTCAGAGCCCCGTCCAACCTGGCCTTGAATGTTTCCAGGGATGGGGGATCTACCACCTCTTGGGGCAACCCGTTCCAGTGTTTCACCACCCTCATAATGAAAAATTTTTTCCTTGTGTTTAAGTCTACCCTCTTTTAGTTTAAAACCATTACCTTTTGTCCTGTTGCAGCAGGCCTTGCTAAAAAGACTATCTCCATCTTTCTTATGATCCCCTTTAAGTACTGAAAGGCCGCAATAAGGTCTCCCCGCAGCCTTCTCTTCTCCAGGCTGAACAAGCCACGCCCGCCGGCCACGCTTCTTTTGATGCAGCCCAGGAGATGGTTGGCTTTCTGGGCTGCAAGAGCACATTGCCGGCTCGTGTCCAGCTTTTCATCTATCAGTACCCCCAAGTCCTTCTCAGCAGGGCTGCTCTCAATCCCTTCATCCCCCAGTCTGCATTGATACCGGGCATTGCCCTGAGCAAGGCGCAGGACCCTGCACTTGGCCTTCTTGAACCCCATGAGGTTCACACAGGCCCACTTCTCCAGCCTGTCCAGGTGCCCCTGGATGCCATCCCGTCCCTCAGGCGTGTCCACTGCACCACTCAGCTTGGTGTCATCTGCAAACCTGCTGAGGGTGCACTTGATCCGCTGTCTGTGTCATTGATGAAGACATTGACCAGCACTGGCCCCAGTACAGACCCCTGAGGGACACCGCTTGTCACTGGTCTCCATCTGGACATTGAGCCATTGACCACTACTCTCTGCATGCGACCACCCAGCCAGTTTGCTATTCACCGAACCGTCTGCCAATGCTTCCCGGGAGACAAATGTGGATCTAACTACAGGCCCAAAATTTCAGCAGGCGGAGGAACTCGGGAGTCCCCACAAAAGCTTTAAGAGTTCCTGAAGCAATGAGGCCAGGCTACCAGCCTGGCACCTAAGCGGCTGTCCCGGCAGACAGAGAAACCGCAGCCCCCGGACGGACAAAGAGGCGTCCCCGCCGGAGGAAAGGCGCGCCCGCCCCGGGGCCGCGCAGAGGCCGGCGGCGCCCCCCGCG